TATGCCCATTGTCTTTGTTTCAATCATTCCTTTGCTTCATGATTTTTCATTAATCCACTACATATCCTTTAGAAGAATTGATCGATCTATGTGAACTTTCAATATGTGATGTCAAAGTATCTTGTCTTCAATATATATCCCTCCATCTTGTTTCCAGGTGGTTTCTCGATGTTGGATTTGTTTGATCTTATATCAAGCTCTGACGTGAACATATGTTTATTCATGTAAGCTACATTTGATCAAAATCCAGTTAATACAATTGTAGCTTTTGTAGGTGTTAAAAAGGGAGGAGATGACTCTTGGTATATATAAGAAACTAAATAGATGGCAAAAGTGTGTTAGGGTTTTTAATTTTTATTAGCTAAAGGAAAATTTCCTTATTTGTTTCCTTATTTAATTTCCAATAGTATTATTATTTGTTTTCTTTTTTCTTAAAGGAAAATCTCCTTTTTTACAATTCTGCTGATAAAAATAAAAAGTAAATTAATGAAAAAAAATTCAAATATAAATAATTTTAGATGTTGATATATAATGATATTGTTGGTATAATTTTCTTATTTATTACATATCTCTACTAATATTACACTTATAAATTCTGGAAACTTTCCTATTGCTTACCTTTGAATTATGAAACTTTCTTAATATATAAAAATATAAAAAGGAATTTAACTAATTGAACAAATAGCTAATTTTATGTGATGATGTGGACATACTATTGGTTGTTTAAAATTCGGAAACTGCTTAATCTAGGAAATACTTATGTGGACCAATCAAATCGCGTTTTATAATCCTATGTGGACGCTCTCAGAGGCTTATAGCCTCAACTTTTATATAGTATAGATTACATAAAAATTACATTCTGTATGGTAAAACATGAAAAGAAATGTATTGTTTCTGATTCAAGTCTTCAAGAAGATTTTGGTCAGTATAAGTTTACCACACGCTTATTTGTAGGTTGAACCGGCCTCCCGTTTGAATTTGAATCCTGCAAATTATTTTTTCAAACATATATATTTTTTTTTAACTTTTCATATATAGTAAAGTGGTAAAATTCAAGAAGTATATATTGTCATACGTTGGATTTTAATTTAAAAGAAAAATACTCACATCGTGAACAGCCACTCGGAGTAGTCTCACTTTGGTTTTTTTGTCACAGTCCTTAACTAAGAATTTTTTCACAAATATGAAATTCATTTAGTGTATATTCATTTAAAGACTTTTATACTATTATTTCGTTTATATTTATTTGGCATGACCAGCAATTTTTTTTTTTAGTTGATTCACATTAATATAGATATAGAACCCAATATTTTTAGTCTAACAACTAAAGTTTTGTATTTGGCACTTTTGGTAGGTTTATAAGAAGAGGAAGTGACATGGCTTAGTCGTTGACTTAAATTAGTATATAGAGATAAATAATAGATGGAAAAATGTAAGTAAATTTTCTCAATAAAACAATGAATTACATCTAGCACTCGTTCTTTTTTCTTATATGCTTTTAACAATAGTAGCTGATGAAAACATTGATATGTGAGATTCTATAACTTCTACTTAAAATTTAATTCTTTTCTGAGCAAAATTTAAGCAATTTTAATGCAATATTTGATAATTTATTTAGCATTAATTTAACAAAAAAATGACAAAAATGTTAGGAGAGTACTGTGGATGAAAGAATCTTATACACAATCCCATCGGCAAAGCTTTGCACAGTGGATGTTAACGGAAGCTAAAGTTCAAGCTGTTAAAGTTGCCGTTAAGGTTTAACCTTGTGTTCCTTTTGTCCTACTATACTTACTAATCTCACTAGTAGCTAACTTATCACTGTCAAAATGTTTTGATTTTGGATCATTGCTTATGTTATTTTTGCTCTAGGGATAGTGATAGTGTTAGGTGCTCTGCTTTGGTACATCATCAAGAAGGTGATAAGGTACTACCATGGTCTAGTACTACAGAGTCTAGAGACAGAGGATGTAGAGATGGCTGATCGGAGAGTGCTTTCAGCTGTTGCATTTGAAGACTATCAATTCAGGCATGGGGAAGAAGAATGCTCCATATGCCTTGAAGACTTTAGCAATCAACCATTGGCCAACACAGAATGTGGACATGCATTCCATCTAGAATTCATCAATAGGTGGGGATCAAATGTTCATCCAGTCTGTAGAGAGATGATGTAATCTTAATTATATGGTTGTATAGATATTTGAGTTTGTGATTGTGGTTGAGTATATCATCTTACAAGAAGTTTTATATGTATATTGTCACTGTAAATCTTAAGTTTAATACTTGAATCTTAATTTGTCAACTTCTTCTATTTTTGTTATTTCCATGTGGTCTCGTAGCATGGGAAATTTTACTTTTTGTTACTAAGTTTTACTTTTGTTCTGTTTTGTTATACTTTGCACTGATGCAAATTAGATCATTGTTTGTACTTTGGTTAAAATGAATTATTTCCCTTTTCTCTTTAGTTTTCCTTTACAGAGACATCATGAATCCATGATCCGTATTCGAATTTAAAACTATAGACAGACTATCATAAACTTGAAAAACAGTAACATTAAAGAACCTCATTTAATTACGTTGCCATAATCTTTATATTATTAATTGAGAAGTACATTCTAATGTTTGGATACAAGAATAGAGAAACATCTATTTGGATAGAAGAATAAATGGAAAAAAAGTTGTTTGGATATAAGAATAAGAGAAAAATCTATTTGGATAGAAGAATAAATGGAAAAAAATTTGGATACAAGAATAATAACTTAAAACAAACCGATGGTTTAGAAAACTTCCTGTTTTCCAGCTCTTAAAAAATCTGCAAAAAAAAATATTAACACAATCTATCGATAATACCAAATCAATAGAATATGATCGAATAATATTTGCAAAATTTCCAATAGTGAAATAGAAATACGTCTAATTTAAATCAAATTGTGGATTTCTGTCCCGGTTTTTTTGAAAATTTCTGTTCGGTTTTGGGTTCGAGCATTTTTGGGTTTAGTTCAAGGTTTCCGAATTTTTTGGATTTCGGGTTTTAGGGTTTAGACATATTAATTTTTTTTTGGTATTTTAAATTTTTATTAGGGTTTTTAGGTCGGGTTTGGGTTTCGGGTGAAAAAGTTTCGAGTTTTTTTTATTCGGTTCAGGGTTTTCGGGTTTAAACATATTAAAAAGGATTGGGTTTTTAAAATTTTGATTAGGGTTTTGGGTCGGACTCGGGTTAAGATTTAGATTTTCTTCACAAAACCGCAACATCACACCGCGCGTTTCGCGGGTCCTCTACTAGTACGCATTATAAATTTGAGAGTTTTCGTTCCATATCTAAATTAGATTAGATAGATTGGCTTGAGGGCCAGTCGTAACAATAAAAAGGAGGGAAATGGGACACTAAAGAATATTTAAGAAACACATCATTTATTTTTTATTACATAAAAATTACATTCTGTATGGTAAAATATGAAAAGAAATGTATTGTTTCTGATTCAAGTCTTCAAGAAGATTTTGGTCTGTATAAGTTTACCACACGCTTATTTGTAGGTTGAACCGGCCTCGCGTTTGAATTTGAATCCTGCAAATTATTTTTTCAAACATATTATTTTTTTTTAACTTTTCATATATAGTAAAGTGGTAAAATTCAACAAGTATATATTGTCATACGTTGGATTTTTTTTTTTTTTAAATACTCACATCGTGAACAGCCACTCGGAGTAGTCTCACTTGGTTTTTCGTCACAGTCCTTACCTAAAAAATCACCCAAATAAATATAAACGAAATGATAGTATAAAAGTCTTTAAATGAATATACACTAAATGAATTTCATATTTGTGAAAAAAAATCTTAGTTAAACGGATTTACCATCCGTTTTCTGTAAAAATTGCCTAGAATTAGATGTCATTTAAGCAAAGAAACCCTAATTTTAAACGAAGAGAGAAACACAAATAACTTGGAAAATCAGAAATAAGTAACAACTAGATGAATATACCTTTTTGACGACGGTCCAAGTAACATTCTGCGTACAAGGAGGAGTGGTAAGTGATCCAATATATCTATAATATTTTCTGCTCCCAATCTTTATCTTCTTCGGATCTATCTCTCCAATATTTTTCTCTGCCTCATTTTGATCTGTAATCGCCGACAACTTATTTTCCAACTAACCAAAAGAAGAAGAAGAAACTTGGTCCTTAATGATAGATGTTGTGTAGAAAATTAAAAGCTTAATTAATTATGTCATAATTTTGCGATATTTATACCAGTCTGAGAAAAGAGTCTGGTCTTCCGATTTTGTATAGAACTGTGACTACAGCCATACTTCCGTTAATGCTTTCGTGAACCATGTGCAGTTCCAAAGCAAACCTGCCGATATTTTTGTACAATTTCTTTTATAGCGAAGGAGGGTTATAACAAACAAAAAAATTATACACATGGACACATGGTATTAGGTATTTAGAAGAACAGAAAAGAATTGTCTGTGTTTCTTTCTTTGTTACAGTATGTATACGAGGTTTAAAAATACTTTCGTAAAAAATAACAACAATATATTTCATATGTATACAATATGAGTAAGAATGTTGGCACACCTTCTTCCATTAATAGTATGTTCAGAGGGAGAATGCCAATGAAGCTGTAGGAGTTGATATTTAGTACCATTGATTTTAATACTTCCCGAATTTTCTTCAAATCTCAGCTGCGAGAAGAAAAAAAATATTACTACAAAATACATCGAATTTAGAAATTTGTTTTAAGAGTAAAAAAAAAAAAAATTAGTGGTTGGATTAGTCTTTTTAGGATTTCGGGTTTATGATATAGTTTGTTAGGTTTTATGTTTTGTAATAGAAGGTTTGAATTTTTTTTTTAAAGGGCATGTATAATGTCTAAATTTTGGTATAAACACAGATTCTTTTTGTATGTCTAATAAACTATTAGAAGATATAAAAAGTATATATAAGTTTTATAAATGAGGGATATATAACTGTTTGTAAGCGTATTATAATACCATCATGTCATGGCCTCGATTTTTGAGAGTGGCATTGGAAGGTTGGTAATCTCTAGTAAGCCTTCCAAGATGAGAAACAATTCTAACTCTTTCGTTCATAAGATCAATTGGAGATTGCATCTCTCCTTTTCCGCACATCTTCCATTCCGGTTTCAGTTTGCCCCATTTCTCTGGACCGTTCTCTTCGTTCCCCTCGTAGCTGAATTCACTTTCATCCTCTATACATTCATCAATCCATCAATCATATATAAGATAATGGAATTAATAGATAATTGTCTTTTTTTTAATAGAAAAGGAAAGCAATGAATCAAGATCAGATGTATAGCTTACCAACTTCTCTTTGAGCATTTGAACATGGTATAATGGTGGCGATGATGGTGATAAGTACAAAGAAGAAACAATGAATTGATGATTTATCCATTCTTTTGTTTTCTTTTGAGAGAGAGAGAGAGAGGGTAGTTGTTTTGTTGGATCCACGTTTTTAACCTAAGGTATCAACTTGAGGCATAGTATATATAGTGGGTGAGATAATACGTGCAGAAGGATTTTGTATAGACGTGTGAAACGTCAGGTTAGTCGTCACGTTTTTTTCCTCTTAAAACTATTTGTGTGCCAATCGAGACGACATGTTTGACTCTTGTTGAAAAAATGATTTCGTTTATTTATTCCCTTTTTTCTTTTGCCTGCTAGATATTAGGCCTGGGCACGGAGCGGATATCCGGAAAATATCCGTGATCCGTGATCCGCTCCGTGTGATCCGGATAGTTGATTTTGCGATCCGCTCCGATCCGAAAATTTCCGGAATATCCGGATATATCCGTCAAAAATTAAAATATCCGCGGATATCCGATCCGATCCGTAAAATATATTTAAAAAAACAAAAAAAAATATATTAATTATAAATAATTGAAAATTAGATAGAAACATCCCTAAATATATTATTGTTTCATAATTTATAATATGCCTTTAAAAATAAGTTCTAAAAACGTAAATTAATTAATCATAAAGGTACCACTAAACACATCATCGTTAACAATAAACATACTGCAAAAATAATTTTAAAGTTTTAAGTAAGCTATTGCTACGTTATTAAACCTTTTTACTATATAAATGAATGGATTATATTTGTGAAAACAATACTTTTGTTGATTTGTATGTTTCTAAAGACAAAATGAACAAATTTCTTAGTATATATGTATATATATGTAATTTTTATAATATACGGATCGGATCGGATATTCGGTTTTTCAGAAACAATATTTGCTATTTGCTCCGTTTTTAACGGATATTGAATTTTAGTATTTGCTTTGATTTGTATCGTTACGGTTATCCGGATTTTTCGGATCGAATCGAAGCGGATAACGGATCGAATCGGATATAGCGGATAATTTGCCCAGGCCTAGCTAGATTTATTTCACATTCATAATTAACTCAGTTTGTCAAGACAAGTTTCGTACGAACTTAAACCAAAAAGACAACTTTTGTACGAGCCGATCTAGTATGGAGCTTCAAATTGTCTTAATTTGGTTGTCACAACCTTAAAATGTTCCAACGAAGTCGAAAACCATCCAAAAGTATAGCATATTATTAGATATAAGTTATCCAAAAATAAATTATTATATTATTTGGACAAACAGTCTCTAAAGATCAAACAGTTTTCCTCTCATGATTCAATTTGGTCGTACAGAGGAAAGTTGCTTCATGTTTTCTTTCCCATGCGCCAAAGAATTTTCCTCCTCTTGACATCATTGTATCTTGCTACGTGAAACTTAATTTGCTAAAATTGGTTTCACATTGAAATATTGAGTGCAAGTTTGATTTTCTTTTACTGGTTTCATAACAAAGGTCTGGACTGGTCTGGGGGATACGAGAATCAACTTATATATCTTTTAAGAATTAATCAACACAACCAATGGGAACCACAAACGTACCCTACTAATTGTAAGGATGATATTTATGTTACTCGTGCTGCATCTTTGTATGATTGTACCTCAATAACATTAATAACACTTGTCCAATCAAAAATATAGACCTAAAGTTCCCCATCTTTATGCTCATTTGAGTGAACGAGGTGATATATTTTCTTTTCTTTTCTGCCTTTTAGTTTATAGATGTTAAAAGATTTCGTATATTATTTTACATTTGAATAATAATACTCTCAGAGATTTTTCTAGCTTGGACGGTACACTTGTACAGTATAGTATTAGTATCTATGAGAAAACCAGCAAAAGGAAATCAAACTAATTGTACTCAATATATCAATGTCAAATTGTTGTGACTAAGAGCGATAAAACGAAAGAGAAAGAGAAATTGAGGCAATATACTTTGTTAGGGTTTTTTATTAACTCGTGTGTTAAAGTATTACAAACCCTTATAAATCTTAAATATAAACCTTAAGAAAAACCCGATAAATTTTAGTGTACTGTATCATTGACTAATTGCCATGAGAGCTGGCCCTTTTGCCACTGTATAACTGATTATAAATCACCTTAAATAACACAAATTAACCAATTAGCTCGGCAAAATAAGTGTCACGTAAACGTAGCTATACAATGATGTGAAGAGGAGGAAAATTCTTTAGCGAATTCGAAAGAACACATGAAGCAACTTTCCTGCTTTCCAGTGTACGACCAAATTAAATCATGGGAGTATTAGTCCAAACAATTTAATAATATAATTAGGGTGGTTAGTTTGTTGGTTGGAACTTGGAACACCGTAACTTTAAAATTATATTACAAAGAAAATAAAAGTTTCGCTTCTGCAGTAAGCAAGGTCAAAAAAGCAGTTTTAAAATTTTCATGTATGATACGCTCATGAATGATGAAATGATCCTTGAATTATCTTATCATAGCTAATGCCAAAAATACAATTCAATGGAATTACATATGGTAGTCCAATATGATCTAACACATGAGGACTACTTTAATTTTCGAAATATGGAGTAATAAATAAAAGGGGTGCGTTGAAGTATGGTGATCTCTCTTAGTCAATTAGGCTCTGAATTTAGACTTAAACAAGAGTACATGTGTTCGTATCCTACACGTTTGTACTAAGTTGGTAAACGATCGTATAAGTCGTTCTTATTTTTAAAATTCTAAGAGTTACGAAAAAAAAACAAGAAACATTCATGTGAAATCGCAGAATTGTACGAAGAAGAATTTGTTAAATATAATAGTCAGGATGTATCAAAGACAACATATGTTCAATACAAATACATAGCTATGTTCCAATGTATAAAAACACACAACCCGCACATACAAATATGTATTATTGTTAGTAACCATAATCTTATAATTGAGATTTTAGTACATGAATTGTATTTATTATTTTATTAACTTACATAAATATATATTTTAGAATGTTTGAGTAGGAAAAAAAACAAGGTTTCCTGCAAATGCATTTACGTCTGAAGATAGATCCTTGACATTGACCATCAGGGAAACCTTCGCTAATACATACGTGTTTGCAAGTTCTCCACTTCGTACACATTCCTTTAAAATTAACACTTTTTGATTCACACATTGGCTGTCCTTGAACAATCTTCATATCTGTAAAATAATACTCCCTCCATTCCAGAATATATGATATTTTAGATTTTTTTTCTCGTTTCATAATATAAGATAGTTTAGAACTTTTAAAGTACTTTTACAAATTTCAATAACTATTATATGAAAGTAATTAAAAATTTGAATTTTTATTGGTTAACATTTATTAATAACTGATTAATTTGAGAAAGTAGTGCATTAATTGTTAAACAATAAATATTTCTTAATAAATCTGTAAATCCTAAAATTTCCTATATTCTGGAACCCCATAGAGTATTATTTTCTGTTATTCAACGACACTGAAAATTTGCAACAAGAAATACAATAAATAATGAAAAGGTATCTTTTAAGAAAGACTATATTTTAAATGATTCCAAGGCCTGAAATCTTATGTAAAATCTAATTAACTATACCAAAATTTAGGAGTACATCACAATAATATCAATCAAAACTAAAAATCTCTTCAATTTCATGTGATAAATTATTTATATATTGTGTTATTAAAAAATGATATAATTTTTAATATCATATATAATATTTAATTTACTGCATAATCCCACTGCAAAGTACGAGATTGGGTTGTAGAAATAATTGAATCATTATTACCATATTTTAAACTAACTAGTCTATGCATAAAAAACAATGTATTGAATTAAATAAGAGAAGTAAACTATAGCTTAATATTTTGGAAAAGTAAATTTATACCTGGTGCAGCAAGAAATAACACTAAGAGGAAGAGAATAGAGATCAACTGCACAACGTTCTTCATTTTTTCTCTTAGTAGATGGTTAAATTGAAATAAAAATTAGAGAAAACAAATAGAAGTATTGATGTTGGAATTAAGTTGTGGAAGTTAGTTTGATGAGGATGCATTTTATAGTAAACATAAGATAAAATTTAAATGGTTTAGGAATGTTAAGATGAAGAACAAGAATAATATGTGGAACAAAATCTGACATTCAAAGAATGTATCTGCCAATATATATTGTTAACAGATTATGTTCCATTTATATCTTAATTAATGAGTTGTACTAGTAGAAGAGATGAGCATTCATAACTTTTTTACAATAAAATCTTGTCATATCACATTTCATATTCTTTATTTGAAAATTAATTTTAATAAACTAATTAAGTAAAAGTAGTATATTTAAAATACAAATCATGCCAAATAGTATATATATATTGTAAATATATCTTTTCTTCTTATTTGCTTAAAAATTCTTTACATAAAATTGATTCAAGCTTCAAAATATGATTGGAAAATGTTGTTTGCCTATAATGTGATTTGAATATTTAAAGCATATACAAATTTCTCAAAAATTGGATAAGTAATTATAAGGAAGAATTCACTGTAATATATAGAGCATATATAAGACTGTAGCCTTTATTATACTCCCTCCCTTTCATAATCAGTGTTATTTTGACACTTTTCACACAAATTAAGAAATTAGTTTAAAGTTCACTTTTAACATTGTTTGACTATTAGAATTCTGCAGTATTTAATGTTTTTCTTATTTAATTAGAGATAAAATAGATAATTAGTACCTTGCTCGATCCGCTGTCACAACGCTTTCCACTGCCGCCTTCACTTGTTCCAAGTAGGTCCCGGGCAAGAACGTGTAAGTGGTTCCAGTCTATGACCATGTATTCCGTTTGTGGCGTAGAACGGTGTCCCCAACGTCTCAACGCGGATATCTCCAACGCTGATTGCGTCTAGGTTTAGGTAATAGTAATCCGGTTTATCCGCCTTTCGAAACATATCTGCTGCTACTGTCCCATCTCCTGCGACAATAGAATTCGCTCCAAAGTTGATCTTGCTAGTTTCCGTACCGGAGAAGCAATAAGACAAAAGACCTAAGAATCTTTCTCCCATCTGAGAGGTGAGCGATGTAGCTGCCCAGTTTAGACCAACAATGCCTGAAGTGGTCGACACAAGCCCTGAGTTGTTGTGGCCACAGCCAATTAGGATTTCAGGCATCAAAAACGGTTGACCTGAAGTGGACTGGATCGTGAGAGTCTCGGAAACATACGTTCCGTTGGTATAACTCTTGCCTGCGTATACAATCTCGTAAGGACAAGAGTGGTCATGGGTCTTGCATCTCCTTGGTTTGTAGGTTGAAGATTTAGAAGGGTCGAAGATGGGATCTACTTGGTTGTAGCAGTTTTGACAAGGCAAGCATTGTGTCCATATGAGGGGGCTTCCTGTCAATCATAGCTTCGATCTCCACAGGAGGAGTACCGATTTGTATCTTCATTAGATACTCGGAGCTCTCAAGATCACAAACGGTGTTGGCGTAAGGAGATCCATAATCATCACAGGAGAGTCGTAAATAAGAGGTATTAGAGCGACGATGGATTACTCTAAAATCCATGAAATAAGTTCATGGTGAATCCATGAGGGGATGATGATGAGGCAGTAGTGGTAAGTAAAACGAAAGCTGTTAATTTGTCAACTTCTTCCATTTTGGTCTCGCAGCATGGGAAATATTACTCTTTCGTTACTAAGTTTTACTTATGTTCAGTTTTGTTATACTTTGCAGTTTGCACGAATGGAAATTAGATAATTTTTAGTACTTTGGTTAAAATGAATTGCATGTTCCCTTTTCTTTTTAGTTTTCCTTTACAGAGACATCATGAATCCATGATCCGTATTCGAATTTAAAACTATAGACAGACTATCATAAACTTGAAAAACAGTAACATTAAATAACCTCATTAATTACGTTCCTATAATAACTTAATACGCATTATAAATTTGAGAGTTGTCGTTTCATATCTAAATTAGATTGGCTTGAGGAGTTGAGGGCCAGTCGTAACAATAAAAAGGAGGGAAATGGGACACTAGAGAATATTTAAGAAACACATCCTTTATTTTTTATTACATAAAAATTACATTCTGTATGGTAAAAAATGAAATGAAATGTCATGTCTCTGATTCAAGTCTTCAAGAAGATTTTGATCTGTTTAAGTTTACCACACGCTTATTTGTTAGGTTGAACCGGCCTCGCGTTTGAATTTGAATCCTGCAGATTAATTTTTCAAACATATTGTTTTTTCACTTCTCATATATAGTAAAGTGGTAAAATTCTATGTTCTAAAAAACGTCCGATTTACCGTTTAATCACTTGTTAAAACGCTCAAAGGTTGCTTACCGATGAAATAAGACCAATCGGTCAACTTAATCGGTCAATTATTAACCCGTTTAATCGCTTGTTAAAACGCTCAACTTATACATTGAATTTTTTACGTTCTACTTTAATACTCATTCCGTTTTATAATAAGTGTCGTTTTGACAAAATAAATCTAGACTAATATTACTATAATATTAGTATCTATGAGAAAACCAGCAAAAGAATATCAAACTTATACTCAATATATCAATATCATATCAAGCTCCGCAAAATAAGTGTCACGTGTTGTAGCTATACAATGATGTGAAGAGGAGGAAATATCTCTAGCGAATTCGAAAGAACACATGAAGCAACTTTCCTGCTTTCCTGTGTACGACCAAATTAAATCAGGAGAGTATTAGTCCAAACAATATAATAATCTAATTAGGGTGGTTAGTTTGTTGGTTGGAACACCGTAACTTTAAAATTATATTACAAAGAAAATAGAAGTTTCGCTTCCGCCGTAAGCAAGGTAAAAAAAAGCAGTTTCAAAATTTTCATGTATGATACGCTGATGAATGATGAAATGATCCTTGAATTATCTTATCATAGCTAGTGCCCACAAATACCATTCAATGGAATTACATATGGTAGTCCAATATGATCGAACACATGAGGGTTACTTTAAGTTTTGAAATATTTTCTTATATAAAATTAGATGTGCACTATGTGGTTGTGACACCTAGAATTTTTATAATTTATACATGTGTTATTTTTAGTTTTATCTTGATATGTACAGATACTAATGGAAATTTTTGGTAAATGTTTTGGTAAAGAACAAAAAAAAATCTAATTAAAAAGATGTTTAAAAAGGAAAAAAAAAATCCATATACTAATGGAAATTTTTTTCATATTATAACAGAAAAAAAAACAATTTGCATGCCTCATTGATTAAGAGAAAAAATTTCATAGTCTAATGGAAAAATGAAAAGAATCTGAAAAAAAAAAACTAATTAAAAGGTATTAAAAGGGGGAAACCATATAACTTTCATATTAAAACGGAAAAAATATTTTGCATGCCTCACATTCTAAAATAAAATGTTTCATATTCTAACCAGAAAAAAATCTGAAAAAGAAAAATAAAAGAATAAACTAATGTTTTGGAATTAAGTAGCCAAAACATTAGGAAAGAAAAGAGAGTAAAACGTAATTATTAATATGATAGATTTTTCAACCGTAAGAGTTTTTATAATGATATTCTCAATTTGATTTTATTTATTTTTAAGAGTGATCATATTTTTAGGTTATTTTGTTTTATAGTATTATACATTTTTGTTTATTTTCTACTTATTCTAAAATATTATGTTATCAATCCTGTGTATACACATGACCTAATCTAAATAAAAGGGGTGGGTTGAACGATATATAATGTGATCTCTCTTACTCAATTAGGCTCCGGTTTAAATTGGATTAGACTTAACCAAGAGTAAACGTGTTTGTATCCTACATGTTTGTATTAAGTGGTAAACGATCGTATAAGTCGTTCTTATTTTTAAAAACTAATAACAAAGAGTTATGGCAAATAAAACAAGAAACATTCATGTGAAATCGCAGAATCGCATGAAGAAGAATTTGTTAAATATAGTCAAGATTTATCAAAAGACAACATCTATTAAATAAAAACGCATAGCTATATATAAAAATACACAACCCGCACATACAAATATGTATTATTGTTAGTAACCATAATCTTATAATTGTGTTTTTAGTACAAGAATTGTATTTTATTATTTTATTAACTTACATAAATATAAACTTTTAATTAGCTATTCTCATTACTCAAATTTTAATATGAGTAGCAAGAAGACAAGGCTTCCTGCAAATGCATGCACGACGGAAGATAGATCCTTGGCATTGACCATCAGGGAAGCCTTCGCTAATACATACTTGTTTGCAAACTCTCCACCTCATACACATTCCTTTAAAATTAATACTTCTTGTTTCACACATTTGCTGCCCTTGAACCATCTTCATATCTGTAAAATAATAGAGGTCATTTTCTGTTATTCAATGACAATTAAAATTTGTGACGGTAAAATACAATAAATAGTGGAAAAGTATCTTTTAACAAGACTACTTTTTAATTGATTACAACGCCTAAAGTTTTATGTAAAATCTAATTATTTACACCAAAATTTATGAGTACAGCACATACATCACAATAATATCAATAAAAAAAAATCTTCAATTTCATGTGATAAATTATTTATATATTGTGTTTAAAAAAATGATATAATTTTTAATATCATATATAATTTTTAATTTACTGCATAATCCCACTGCAAAGTACGAGATTGGGTTGTAGAAATAATTGAATCATTATTATCATATTTTAAACTAACTAGTCTATGCATAAAAAACAATGTATTGAATTAAATAAGAGAAGTAAACTATAGCTTAATATTTTGGAAAAGTAAATTTATACCTGGTGCAGCAAGAAATAGCACTAAGAAGAAGAGAATAGAGATCAACTGCACAACGTTCTTCATTTTTTCTCTTAAGCCGAAGAAATAGTTTAGAGATAACAAATAGAAGTATTGATGTTGGAATAAGTTGTGAAAGTTAGTTTGATGCATTTTATAGTAAACATAAGATAAGATTTAACTGGTAAATTGTCAACATATTTATTATATTGGAATGTGAAGATGAAGAACAAGAATAATATGTGGAACAAAATCTGACATTCAAAGAATGTATCTGCCAATATATATTGTTAACAGATTATGTTCCATTTATATCTTAATTAATGAGTTGTACTAGTAGAAGAGATGAGCATTCATAACTTTTTTACAATAAAATCTTGTCATATCACATTTCATATTCTTTATTTGAAAATTAATTTTAATAAACTAATTAAGTAAAAGTATAAATATTTAAAATACAAATCATGCCAAATATATATATATATATATTATTAAAAAAAATATATATATATATATATATTATTAAAAAAAATATATATACTTTCTCCTTATTACTTGTAATTATTTACTTTCTCCTTATTTTGTAATAAATATTTAAAAATAATATACTTTCTCCTTATTTTGTAATTATTATTTACAAAAAACTGATTCAAGCTTCAAAATATGATTGGAAAATATATGTTTTTGCCTATAATGTGATTTGAATATTTAGACCAGGTAAAAGTTTCTCAAAAAATGGATAAGTAATTATAAGGAAGCATTTACTTTAATATATAGAACATAAGACTGTTTATTATATTTTTTTTATGAAGAGACTATATGATAAATTTACTCTTTCAAAACTAAAAAAAAAATAACAAATTTGGGGTTTTGAGTTTATTAATAGGTTTAATTAACATTTTTTTATTGAAATGTATCCTTTTAGATTTCATCAATACATAAATTGTCATAAATCTTATACAATAATTTTTTTATATCAGAGTTTTTTATTTTTTTTACAATATTTTTGTAATAAATTAGTTTTAGTAAATTTTATATTCTTTTATTTGTAATGTTAATTCATAAAAAGATTAAAATTTTAAATGTAAATAATATTCTTAAAATATGTTTTCAAATTAGATTCTATATTTAAATTTCTAGTATAAATTTATAAAAAACTTTCATACACGACTTTCCTGCTCTTATAAAATCTCACTTCATGGTGGGTGCTTCTCCGCACGATTGCATTCAGTGTCCGGTCAGTTATGTTCAGAGTATTCCGCGAGTTGTAATGATGATTTGTGAGCTGACTGAATGTATTGGTGTTGGAATTCTCTAAGTCTTGATCAAGGATTTTCATAATTTATGCTAAACTTATTTGTTTAAATTGTAAATTAAAAAAGAGGTTACGTGCCTGTCAAGGTGGTCCACGGAGGCTAACCAACAGAACGTTGGGGTATGCCATGAAACAACCAAGTTTTTTTCTTTTTTATAATTAAATCAATATTAGTGGAAGTGTTAAAATCAATAAATAAATAATAATCAAATCAACAATATTTGGTGGAAGCAAACAAAACAATTGATAGTTTTAGCAACTTAAAACACCATGTTCTACTAATAAATTAACAATAAAACAATTTCCTATTATCCGGTCTTGATTTTTCGATGACATAATTCTTTTACCTGCATTACAATACAAAAGAGATACGTAAGTATTATCAAAAATCATATATATGAATTGAGGTCAACTCTCTCCATATAATTGACATGTGGAAAAAAAAATTAAAGAGAGCAGTCTCTTCGCATTCTTAGTCGTTACAGTTATAATAGGTTTCAAAACCGTCAGTTGATTCACCTTCCACATTGTATCAACACTCCATTAATTGATATTGTGGCATGACTTTTCCTCTTATTTTCAGTCAATAACTCTAAATCTTATCCATTTCAACTTATGATAATAAAAATCACTCTATTAATCCAAGGCTTTTACATTTCGGCTTCCATCTTAAGTTATTATTAAACATCTAAATTCTCTTAATATACGGAGAAATGGATTTAGTAAAAATCGATAGTAAAAATCACTCTATTACTAGAGTCCGTTCTATGTGGTCGTGAGTAGGGGTGTCAAAATGGGTAACCCGATCCAACCCGACCCTAACCCATACGGGTTTGAAGGTTATAGGGTTGGGTTATGACCCGACCCATTTATTTTATGGGTTGTAATTTATAACCCGAACCCAATTATGTTAGTACCCATGGGTTAAATGGGTTTTATGGGTATCCATATATATTAAAAATAAGTAATATTTTTTCGTTTTTACAATAAATGAGTAATTTTTTTTTAAAATATACTATATATTATTAAAAATTCAACTTAAACTTCCAAATAATAAATTTATAGTAATATTTGTGTATTAAAATAATTGTGTATTAATATTTATAGTAATATTTGTGTATTAAACAAATTAAAATACTCATAATTAGGTAAAATATAAAATAAAATCATAAAATATAACTATAAATTTATAAAAAAAAAAATTTTGAGAAACCCATGGGTAACCCGTAACCCTAATGGGTAAACCCGTTAGACCCATAAACTATTAGGGTCAACCCACAAAAACCCATTTATTTATATGGGTAAAAAAGTTCAACCCAAACCCATTAAAATTTTTGACCATTAGGGTCAACCCATGGGTAATGACCCATTTTGACACCCCTAGTCGTGAGTAAGCAAAAAGAGTTAATGGTTCATAGACATGTGGTATGATACAAAAATATATGTTTGAAACTCAGTCGCTAACCAACAAATAGGAATTAAATACAGATATTACTGGATTATACTTTATAATATTAATCGCAAATCTAAAATTGTTTTCGAGCATTTTTAAAAAACTTTAACAACAACAAAACATGCGTGTATGCGCGGGCATTAATCTAGTACTTAGTGAAACGATCATCCCATATATCTACAGACCAAGACCAGTTACGTGAAACACTAGTAAGCACACAGCAATGAACAACAAAACAACGAACCAATAATAACAAAATTCATTTGTGTCGAGCGACACCACCCTGATGTCGGTCGACACAAACACCCCATGTCGATCGATACCAAAGTGGTGTCAGTCGGTCGACACACAACCTCTGGTGTCGACCGACACCAACTTGGTGTCGCTCAACACCAACTCGCAAACCTAAACCCCAAATCACGAAATCAACACAAAAACAGTAAATTAACGGGATTCAACACCCGAAATCGATCACATCACCACAATAACTCAAGAATAGCTCAAGAAGAACTCAACAACACATTACACAACGAAATCTTAGTGAAACACGACTTTATGGTCACGTACTCACCTCAAATCGATTGGAAACAAAGGAAAACGGATGAGAGATGAAGAGCAACACGAAGTGTTGTTTGATTCAACACCAAAAACTCGGATTTCGCTCAAGAACTTCACCAAAATCACCTCTTCTCTTCTCTGCCTCCACAAAACAAAACCTCGAGAATAAAGACGGCTGCGTATTTTATTTCACGAAGCAATGGTTTCCTAATCTTAAGCCAACCCAAACCAGATTTAAATTAAATCAGAAATCAATTTTAATTATTGGTGTTAACCAACACTTTTTTAGTGTTGCTTGACACCACTTCCTAAACAACATGTGTTGGTTTACGGTTGTTACATGCCACATATTAGTCACGTAGAAAACCGAATAGTTTGTCGGTCTTTTCTACGATAATATTCCGATTGATATGTTGTCCACCGTGATTCTCTAGTCATCGAAAAATTACTATCATCAACTACTTATAGTAAAACAATAAAATAACGTTATAACAAAAAAAGGAAAAGAAGTACTTATAGTTCATTGACAAAGTAGTTTTCTGATACGCATCTAATAATCAACATATTTGAATTTTACAATAGATTATAGATAATCTACGGTAAAACTTAGCTAATGTTCTTTTTTAACAAACGAAGTTGTCATACATCTTTTTACCAAAAACAAATGTGTTCTAAACCGGGGCTTGTAGCCCAGTGGTAAAGGACCCTCAGTTGAGGTACCCGTCACCTGGGTTCGAGTCTCGGCCACAACGGATTTAACATCCCTTCCGTTGGGACGCTGGACCCCACTTACAAGGATAGTCGGGAATGTGGTTGCCCGGATACCAGAGTTATCAAAAAAAAAAAAAAAAAAACAAATGTGTCCTATACATCTTTTGTTTCTTCTGTTTTCATCTATATGCTACTATTTCCTTCATAGTTATCTAAATTTCTATTGTTTGAAAACAATATAGACTATCTGGAAAAATACACCACTCCAGTTTAGTGTTGCCAATGATCACCAAAATGAATAAAGAAGATAATCGGCAAATATTTTATTTAATAAAAGAATATTAAAAAATGATACTAAAAGTATTTTTAAAAAATTAGCATACTAGCTACATAGTATGGCTTAAATTCAACAAATAAAACAATCAATCAATATATATATATATATAATATATATATATATCTACATAGAGTACTAATTACATATATCAATATGTATAGCGAAACAATCTAAAAGAAATATGAAAAAAAAAATCAAATGCCATATATATCATATACATGCGTCTCTAAGATGGTAATTACGATGTAGCTGTTGTTGTTGCCGCTTCATCTTGTGAAGAAGTAGAAGGAACAGAAGAAAAAGAAGAAGACCCGTTAGAGGAAGGAGATATCTCGCCACCGGCAGGAATATCCTGAAGAGCCGCCAGAATCCGGCGGATGCTGACGGACCTCGCTGGCCGGAAACTGTAAGCCCTCTTCAACGAATTTGATTTAGAAAAAACCTTGGACGATTTCGAGAGAATGAGATACACCAAACCTTGAACCAAAGCAAATAAGACCACCTTCATCAACATCGTTCCCAAGTCTCCTTCCATTTGTTGTAATAGAAAGACTCCTCGTTTTCGAGATGAGATTCAAAATATGTATTTTATCTTCCTGTGGTTGTGTCAAGATCTGAAGATGAGTTTTAGATTGAAGATATTAAGTTCATGCAAAAAGTTGATTGAAATTTATAGAGAGAGGGCACGCCTTGCGTATTTGACCAGAAGCAGAGACGTGGAAGTAACGGACATAATCGTTAGACCTTATCCGGTCAATGGAATGATCACGTCATATTTTCTCTACAAATACAACGATGCTCAAACATAACAACATGAAAAGTCAATATTTAATAATATTATAAAAAGTAATAATAATGTATGTTTGGGTATCTCAATTGGCATGAATTCTTGCTTGAACAGTGATATATAGCATCAAAAAGATACGTCTAGTAGAAGTGTAGAACAGTTTTATTGACACGAAATCTTAAACGTTACTGTACGTGTCTAATTAGGTGTAGTCGTATAGATCCCAAACAAAAAACTAATAATAGTAATAACAAGGTGGTTGTCCCGCACCTTGTGCGGGTACAATATTTTTTAAATACAATTATTAATTAAAGATTTAAATAATATAAGTAGTACAACTTTTTATTGTATTCATCGTTTTTGTTTTCGCAAACTTCTTATTTTTGTAATCTTGAGGTGTCTTATTTTTATCTTCTCTTTCTTGTTCTTCTACGTAATATTCTTCATTTGTTTTGGAATTTTCTTCACATTCCATTATTTCTTCTTTCCTTTCTTTTTCCTCATGTTCGACTTTTCTTTTTCTTTTCTAAATTTTTCATCTTCTTTTTCACTGTTTTCTTTTCTTTTACTTATGTATCTATTATGTCTTGTTTGTGTCTTGCATATCACCTACCAATTCATTTCGATAGTTAAAATTTTCAATATTTTTGAAATAGATTCTATCTTTATATAGTTGAGGTCTTTTAAAAATTTATTAGTTTTGTTATCTTTCAATTCTGGATTTTCTTTAGTTGTTTTAGTTTTTTTTTCTATTTGTGAATGTAATTTTGAAAGTAGATATAAATTTCAAATAAATGATTTTTTTATTATGAAATTCTTCTGTAATAATTCAAGTTTTTTTAAAATACACCAAAAACTAAACCCTACCCCATCAATATAAACCCTACACCCTAAACCCAAACCCACAGTGTAACACCACCCCCTAAATAACCCAAACCCCACATTGTAACACCACTACCAAATAACAACCCCCCCCCCCCAATCCGCACACCTAAACCCACATTTTACAAAATCTTTTTAGATAAGTTTATTCAAATTAGGGTTTCATAAGATTTAAGTTGAAAATAAAAACGAAAGATGTACATACCACTAATTTTTGTCAATGCATTTTTTTTGAGTTGGTACCATAGTTGATTTCTTTGACTCAATTAGCTAACAAACCTGGAATTTACTGTTATAAAGGTAAAAGAAGTAGAAGTTAGATGCGATTCTTTGAATAAAATTTCCAGAAAATAACGAATAATCAGTTAAACATTAGATCTAATACAACTAAGATCTAGCAATAACTATAAACCTACATGACAAAAGATGAAATATGGAATCGAAGAATTTAGAACACGAAAAAGAAGAAACGAAATTCTGTTTATTTTGCTTGTTAAATAGGACTAAGTCGGTTGTAAAATCTAGAGTTTTTTTAAAATACCTAATTATTTGATTTCTTCCAGAAAAGTGGTGCGGTAATATGATAGTTAGGATATTTATTTAAGTGATAAATATAAATCGAGGAAAAAAGAAAAGGATAATTATCAATATTTAATAAGGAAATAATGAACTTTTATATAAAAAACGAAATTGTGAAATAATTAAAAAAGAAATTCAGAAGATTTAATAATAGATTTTCATTAAGGGCATCTTGGTAATTCCGCGGCTGAGAGTTAACGTGGTGGCTCCATTCACGAAAATTGATTTGCAAATACTAATATGATTTTTCTTCGTAGAAATTATTTTAATTATGAGAAAATAATTGGTATAACTGGTAAATTAAAAATAAAATAAAAAATCAATCAACATACAACATGAATCCATTATGCTATAAACCGAAAGAAAAAGTAAAGAAAGTGGAAGAACCAAAAGCGATGCCGTTTTCATCGAAGAGGAAACCAACTTTCTTGAAACTGAGATTGATACGAAACCATGAAAAAGATGAAGACGAGCATGAAGGCCACTCCCCACGGCGTTCCTCCAGCTCTATAGAAAGACTCTCTTTCGCTCATAGGGATCAATGACGTCATCATCCCTCCTCCTCCATCGTTGGATAGAAAATGGACGGCCAAGAGCAAAAGAAGAGGAGAAGCCATGAGAGCAAGCTTCAGCTGGTCCGTAAAACCTTCTATAACTGGTTCATAGCTCGGGTACCATGAAATCGTTACGAACATCAAGAGGATGAAGACGAAGACGCAGAGATGTACTGGAACTGGAGGGCTTCCTTCGTGATCTTTTCCCATGGCTTCTTCTTTCTTTCTTTCTTTCTTTAGGTTCTTGATCGTTATTATTATTTTTTTCTGGTGATAGTTTTTGGAGACGTGAGAATTTTTCTTAGATACTTTGATTGTTTGAGTTTTGAGGTCTTGATAGAAGAAGCATGAACTTAGTTTTATAGAGGAAAATTTATTAACTATTTATGTTTACTTCGGATCCTACACGAATGTATGTATAGATAAATTTAATTTTATACAATGGCCGACATTTCCGGACCAAAAAAAACTAACTAAATTAAACCAACAGAGAAGTCCAAATTTATTTTCTAAGAATATTATTTGAAATATGCATGTTTTCTCCGAAACATATTTTATTGATATAATATTATCAACGCAATTGTTTTAACGTTTGTAGTTTAGTTTAAATTTAAGTGCTTGGCCAAAACTAGTTAAAACTTAACTGAAATCAAGCTTAAAATTTATTGATATTTACTTTAGGCCAAATAAATTAAAAATAAACAAGACTTAATGTATTACTCCAAAATAACGGAGTACTTGTGTAGTGTAGCATGGTATCCAAAATAAAGTAAATGAAAAAGAGCTGAGTAGGCACTTTAACTAAAGATTCTTGCTTTTTGACGGTGCCATAACGAAAGGCTACTTAACGAGGTCGGTGAGGCCATGCAGCTCAAGTTTCATTGGTGAAAAAAAGTAGCCAATGAAAACGCACCACGTACCACCAACCATCCCCTACATCTGAGGTAACCTGATACTTTCTCATTTAATTATTCTTGTAATATAACTTCTCAATTTTGTGAAAATTCTAAATTTATTACCTACCAACAAAATGTAGAGAAAAGAAAGTGGAAAATAACTAACTGAAATAAAGCAATTTAGCCGATTCCTTCGGTTTGGATCCATTTGTAGAAGAGACCCTTGAATTTGGAGGGAACTTGATAATGCACGACACAATTCTGTTGTAGCCAGCTTTTTGGAATTTGGATGATGCGTGTGAGATGAGCAATTGGATGGTAACTTTGATTGTGTCGCCTTCCGTCTCGTTCCTCTCAGAAATGGTAAATCATGGTTTAAAAAGCCAGAGCTAAGATGATTGATGCGATGAGTCGTGAGGTATAGTATCTGTCCAGTTCAGAATGAGCTTGATTAAGCATGATATGTTTTAAAAGTATAATGATTTAGACTATAGTTACTTATACCTTTATGTTATTGTTATTGTATGTTATCTTCTTAGGAAACGAGGCATCACTAATTTGTAGGTTAGCTATAAAATTTCCGCGCTTACGTACATAAATTATCATTTAAATTTGGAATGATCATAACCACTTGTTGATATTAAACTAAAGAGCTACTGCATTGTATTGAAAAGAAAAACAGAAATATATATGTATCGCCTAATATAAAAAAAAAACGTATAAAACAAAATAATAGTTTTTTTTACTGCGAAAAACAGTCACCCAAAAATAATTTTAACATTTGGCAATTAATTAACCCTGCAACTATTTTAATGAGAAAAAGGAAAGAGAGGATGGGTGGTAGCAGTCAGACAGTTAGATTGTCCATCTATGTCACTCGAACAACTACCGAGAATATTCGAGTGACTAACAAGTACTAATATGTAAGGAAAAATAATAATACTGTACTACTGAATTTTCACATTAACTTTTCTAACAGATCTATGGTTGGAATCTTGCTATATCAATATATTCCGTGTCATGTGTTTACTTGATATTTTAGAAAAAAACACAGAAGAAACACTTTTGTATACATTTATTATTTCCTTTTTTTGTCTGTTAACAAACACTTGATGTTTTAAAATACTCAATTATCTACTTTCTTAAAATTTTCTTACCTAAAAGTTAAATTATTTCCAACAAAAAATGTATTAAATAAGGCTAAAACATCAAGTTTTGAAACAATTTTTTTTTCTAAAACATCAAGTTTTCAGCCACAAAAATTTCAAGCCCTTTCTAGTAAAAATAACTAAAAAAAACCAATAAGTTTTGTGATTCGTCCAAGTCCGTGGGAGTTGGTGAAAAAGAATGTGTAAAACATTGTTTGTACTTTGTAGTGCCATACTTTGTTTGTTTCTTGAAGAAAATAGTTTATAATGTTAGAGCTACAAAAATATTTGTAGTGCTAGTTAATTATAAACCTAATGTTCACCTACATACACGTAACCACTAACCAGTCGGCAAAGATCGACTATAGCACCCTAATAAGACCTCGAAAATTTGGTGGAGAAATAAAAGACTAACAGACGAAAACTTGGCCAAGAGCTCGGACACAACAAAGTTCATGTAGTGATTCTTAACTAGCGTAAAGGACATATGTGCAATATTGAGCTTCAGAACCAAGGTGCATTTATATAGTGCTAATTACATTAATCCTCATTCCTCAAAAGTCAGAACCAACAACATACGTGCACATCGATAATACGTACGTACGAACGAACGCGAAACATATCTAATAACTGTCATATTAAAAAAAAATATCACATCTAATAACTAATCGTGTATATGTGTGATACGTAAATGAAACGTACGTATATATACAATCAAATCAAGTTTTAAACCGTAAGACCGATGCTTTGCGGTCACGTTTGGCCTTCATTAAACCGCTTAAGACCTTTACATATCGACCCATCATACCTTTGAACTTCACACCAGTTTCACCAACGTGCTTCTCTTTCTTCACCACCAATTGCATCGTCTGCTTGACCCCCTCGTCATCTCCTAATTTTTTACCTAGAGAGCTCTTTTTGTTGGCAGTAGCTTCTCCATTCGATTCTTCCTCGCATCTCAACAGATTGTTCAAACTCTTACGATCAACCTCTCGGTCTCCGTCTTGTTCTTGTTCTTTCTCTGGCTGTGAGATTTTGGTGGATATGTCTTGGTGTGGCATATCGTTGATGAGACTTGACAATGGTTTTCGTGTTCTTCTCGACATGGTTAGATCGAACCGTGGCTTGGTGGGGTTTATTACTTCACTTCCCATGTTTGATCATACATAAGAGAATTCGTTTTTCATGAGGAGACAACTATATATGAAGGATTAGCTAGAAAGGAGTAGTTGTTGGTTCAATTCTTCTTCTGTTTTTTAATTAGAACTATTGGTTTATACCGTAAGAGGTCGGTGAGTTTTGGGATTTAGTTTGCTTTATTAATAAATAAATCAATTATTACAATTTTGACACAGATATTTAGTCTGTAATCTAGCTACATCATCATATTTGGATTAGTTGCCCTACTAATAAATAAATAAACAAATACAAAGCCATGGATAGATTTTTATTTTGTTCAAAAGCTAGATGGATACGATCATTTGATTAGAACTGTAAAACTTGTTTGAAATTATTTTCTTGAGTTACGAGTCTAGCAAAGAGAAGATACTCACTCGAAGTAAAAAAACGACCGAAACATTATATCTTAGTATGTAATTTTATACTCGGATACAAAATTCGTATTACCAAAAGAGAATGACGAAAAATGAGTGGTTGAAGAGAAATATCGATAGAAAAAGTAGATTTTAAGCAACTTCGCAGATTTTTAAGAAGTTTGGTTCGACAGGAGACCCAATGAACAAGTTGGAGTGTCAACACAAATACAAGTGAATGATCACTGATCGGTCATTTCACTTGTGTCCTGTCCGCTATTCCAAGCATCTCCATGAGTTTGACATGTTATCAAGATTGAAATTTTAGTAACAAAAATATCTTAGAGACACAAAAATGGGCATCGTAACGTGGATGACATTCTCAAACGGACTAAATTCGTGGGGGTAGTGGACTAGTGGTATGATCTACTGATATTTTTGTGAAAAATAAATAAAAAGACAATTTTCTTAGATTCTGGGGTTTAGATTTTTTTATTCGGTGAAAAAATTGTAGTTTTGAAATTAGACACACTTTATTTTTTTTGAAAATGAACACCCAAAATTATATATTTTGAAATTTCTCTTTTTAAATGTATCTTTAAAAATTAACAATAATGGAATAGCTTATTTGAATCAATGAATTTTGTAAGTAAAGCGCACCTTTTAAAGTCCATAACTGTTCACAACTTTAGAACTGCATTGGCATACTCAAGTCTTGCCTGAGGACCGAGTCGTACTCAAGTCTAGAGTTGCATTGGCATACTCAGGTCAGGTCTGTAGATAGACGAGATCCACCTTACCTGAGGACGGAGCCGATGCCATACTCAAGTCTTTCATTCATCCAAGATCCAACCACATTACGCTTTAAATTAACTAAGAACGTGTACTTAGGCATGGGCATATTATCTGGGATCCGTTATCCGATCTGCTCCAGATCCGCGAATCCGAATATCATGAAAAAGCCAGATACCGACCCGTGCTCAGGCCTACGTGTACTTCTACGGTGGAGGAGGTCCAAGTCTCTCACTATGGTATTGGAAATCCACTTTAATAGTTACTCCCTAGTCACTAGACTCACTACTAGTTCAGTCCAATCCACAATGTGCATTTCGGATCTTTAGAAAGAAACAAAAAAAAGATAAAAAGAATTAGAAAAAGACAAAAGTCCTCGTGCTTTACACCTGCAACCAACAAAAAGCTTCTTTGCAACCTCCAAATCTCGAAGGCAGAGAGAAGCCTTTTAGCATTCTGACAAAAACTGTCTGCTTTTCCCGACACAGTAAACGACGAACTCTCTACATTCCCCGAGACATCTCTCTCTCTCTCTCTCTCTCTCTCTCTCTTTGAGATTCCCACTCACTCTTCTTCTCTCCCCCACCCAAAATATGCTTATTTTCCCCGTCGATCCACCATGGCTTGCCTTACACCCGGAGTTCTCTCCAACCTTCTCCATATCGCCGCCGGAAACATCGCTTCCTCTCCGCCGTTGTTATCCTCACACCGCTCCCCACTCCTCCAGGTTATCGAGATCGTCCCTTGTCTCTCCGACGACCAATGGCGTAGCGAGGGGTTCTTCATCAAAGTCTCCGACTCTCTCCACGCCGCTTACGTCGCCGTTCTCGCCGGTGATGACGCCGATCTGATACGCTCCGACGAAATCCAGCTAGGGCAGTTTGTTTACATCCACGGTGGTTTACACGTCGAGAAAGGATGCCCTGTTCCCGTTATCCGTGGACTGAAGCCAGTCCCGAAGCGGCGGCTGTGCATTGGAAACCCTAGCGATCTCGTCTCTAGCGATTTTCTGCTCAATGTTACTCAGTTATCTGTGTCGCCGATTGCAACTACGACTACGACTACGACGACGAAGAAGAAGAAGAACAATCTCGGTGACACGAGGAGATTGAGCTTGGATTCCGCGAGAAGGAGTTGTTGGGATCAGACTCCTCCGGTGACTCGCCGCCGTGACGCTGCATTGCTTCTTTCTTCCCCACGTCTCAAACCCAAACTGGTACATCCTTTCAACTTCCTCTGTTCTGTCAATCGAGCGATTTAATCATTTCTTGTTGCATTTAGATTATGGGAAGCTGTGTTTGAGAGTTTCTTGTTCTTTAAGTTGCTACAATGGTTTGAGATTGATACATGTGAGTGAAACCAACCATACTAGTTTCAGGAGATCTTAAATAAGTTGCCTCTTGGAGTGTGAAACTTTCTTGATTCCACATATTTTTAATGTTTTTGCAGATCTTGACTGATAAGAATCTGCCAAAGATCGAGTCACCATCAAAGCACCTTAACTGCGAAACCCCTGCTTCAAGAAACAGAGTTGTGGTTAAGCCTAAATCACCTATATCCATGGCCAAATCTCCAAAAGATGGTATAAAGTCGTTGTCAAAGACAGTGGCTCCTCCGGTTACGTTTTTTAAGCTGCCTTCAAGTCACATGACATGGTCTGATGAGAGAATCTCATGGAGTGGACTCCCAAAAACCATTCAGCTGCTCGGAAAAGTACGGTATATATATATAGATCAATCTTCAAGTTTTAGTGACTCTGAGAATTAGTAGTAAGTCATGTGTTTCAAACTTCTCCTTTTCAGGAAGTTTCATCCAATAGGCAAGTAGCAGTTTCAGCTGCAATAAACGCATTGGAGGTAGCATCCGCCATGGAGTCTGTTCTACTCAGTTTGCAGTATGTTTTTAATTGATCTCTATCCCTAACCTTAGTCTGCGATTCTTTCATTAATTAATAGCATATATGTCTTTGTTCCCTTCAGGTCCTTTGCCGAGCTGTGTGATTCTTCTGAAAACTTATCAACAGGACAAGTTGTGCGCCGGTTCTTGGACATGTACCACAGTACACAGAACACAGGCAAAGCAGTCCATATGTTGCTTACTAGCAATCGAAACAATGGCTCGTGTAGATCAGCAGCTAATAAAAACGCAGTATCTTGGGTTCAAGATGCGGTTGTGGCTGGTTTTTCGCAGTTTAACTTATTCAAAGACCCTGGAAAGCAAGAAGAGGATTATGCTGCTGCTCACCAAGACCAACATCACTACATTGTTCTACAAAACTCTTCCGAGAGACTGAATCTAAAGGAGAGGACAAGTCCAAGAGCCCTAGCTTGCAAGGGTTTCAAGAAACTGCCTTCAAAACGTCATTCTGTTTCAGGAAGAAGTAGCTTAGAACGTAAAAGCAAGTTGAGAGAGTCAGCAAGTCTAGCAGACGAGCTACTCCGAGTTTCAAGCCAATGGTTCTTGAAATACTTAGAGAGCTCACTAAAGAAAAGGTCTTTCTTGGTGAAGAAGGAAGATGCAAATGGAAAAGAGTCTCTTCTTTTCCACCTAAAAGCGGTTAACCGTTGGCTCGATGATCTGATCTTAAACAGAACGGAAACGAGCGAGAGAGTCGAAGATTTGAGAAAGAAACTGCAACGGTTTCTACTTGAACATATTGAATCAGCCATCGGAGAAACTCAGTAACAAAACTAATCCTTCTTGAATCTTAATTAATTCAGTGAATTAATTTTGACAAAAACTTACAAATTGATGAGAAATGTTTTTCTTTGTATACAAGATGGAACAAGAAAAAGAATAAAAAAAGGCTTGTCATTTGCGCATTCCAATTGGATATCTTTCCTCTTCTTCATCGTCGTCAGATCTCATAAAAGGACTAGCTTCATGAGACATCTTGGCTGGATCTTCAACATTGTCTTGATTGTTACCTCTGTGAGTCGCTGAGTATTGCTGGATCACAAGAACCGAAGCTTGCATTGTGAAGTTTGATGAAGCTAATGTGTCTCCTATAGTCCCTAAATCCGGACTACTACTCCAATCCGTCAAGCCAGCGGTCACAGGTGTTTCTACTTTATAACCTCTTCCCACAATGTAAAGATCGAAAGAGTTGTTGTCTTCCAATTCTCTGATCGCGGCGATTGTCTCTTGACCATCGTTAACAACTTTCTCTATGTAAGTCACTGAAGAATCGTCCATAGTCTTGAAGTTAAACTCGTAGATGCACTCTTCGTCGACTTGTTTCTCCCTCTCGTACTCGGCTCCGGTTTTCCCGGCCATGACTAAAGCTTCCCGGCCGGGGACGAACCTCACAACCGTGAGCTTAATCATTGGTTGTCCCACCATCCTCCAAGCGTAAGCCAAAGCATCTCTATCGTCTCTACCTCCAATGAACAACATGGCGACTTCTCTCCTTGAGGTTTCTCCTTGGAAGGAAGAAGATTCAGACCGGGCAACTGTCATGCCACGGTCGACTAGAATCCCGACCGAACAAGGCGCGTGGCACAAAACGTTTTGGTTGACGTCAGCGTGCGCGTCGTTACCTTCGCCTAACCGACCGTCCGAGGTCAAACCCTTGTGGTAAGGCAACAAAATGAAGCTGGCTCGTTTATCCTCAGCCAACGTAGAGATGTCTTCGTGCATGGTCGCGTAAGGTGACACCGCGGTGATGGTCTGAACAAGCAACGCGTCGTTGTTCACTTCCATGGCTTCGAACATCTCGGCGATCTGTTCGGATTCCGCTCTGACTCGGTCCGAGAAGTTAGCTTTGGGTTTGGCCTCGTCGTGCATGATGAGCATGGAAGCCGTGGTGCGACCGGTTAGCTCGACTAGGTGGATAGCAAAGACGTTGAGAGGAGACTTCTTGGTCGGGTTAGAGATTTGTAATAGATTGGTGATGCCGGAGACGTTATCGAGGACGTGGACGCAGGTTAAGACACGAAACTCTACTTCTCCTTTGACTTTTTGAACGGTTCGGTTTTTGTAGAAAATCGATTTCTTCTTTGGTTTGTAAAAGAATGTTAAAAGTGGCTGCACCAGTACCGACATCACTAGAAACGCCACCGTCATATGAGTGTACATTATTACGTCCAATGACTGCGAGAAAAAAAAGAAAAAAAAAAAGAAAAGAAGAAACATTACATGTAAATAATGGAATTAATGAAAGAAAGTATGGTCTCATACGTACCCTAGTGTCACGTCCTGCGTTGAGTACGACTAAAGCCAGAGTCCCCTTGGTGTTCATGAGGGCACCAATAGCGAAACCATCACGCAAAGGCATACGCAAGAAGAAGGAACAAATAACAGTCGTAACAATCTTGACCAAAATAATCGAAGAAATCACTAACACCAAAGTTTTAATGCTCGTGGTGCTTAACATGTAATGAAGATCGATTCTTAAACCGCAGATGATGTAGAAAAGAGGCATTAATATTCCGGAGAGAAAATCGTGGAGCTTCTCCTCGATCATGTTGCGAATGACGTGGTCGTAAGGGATCGTGAGACCGAACAAGAAAGCTCCGGTTATGGAGTGGACCCCGAATGCGTCGGTGATTAGGCCGCAGATAACGACTCCGACGAGAGTGAACCAGACGTGAGTGTCTCCGACGTGGCCTCCTTTCACGGTGTTGGCGAAGGCCCAAGCGACTGCAGGACGGATCACGAAGATGCATAGAAGCACGAAAACGAAGGTTGATCCCATTGCATAAAACACCATTTTGTTCCGTAGACCTAAATGTTTCCATGATTTAATTCAACCGAAAAAATTTGTTAGTCACTATTCAGAGTTTTATATTTGAAACTTTTGTACTACCACTGGTTGAAATTTTTAGAAAATTGTTAATTACAAAAAAAAAAAAAATGATGCATTTATAGTTAAGTCTTTATGTGTCTTATTAATATTTGTGAAAACTCTACAACTATAAAAAATGTAGATTTTTTACTATGCATGGAAAATCTTAAAACTTAAACGGATGAAATAGTGTTATATATGTATAATAAGTTGAAGATTAAATTGTTTTTGGTTGTCGTTGTTGAAAAAGAGACAGAAAGTATATAGTGCAATAATGTAACAAAGGGACACAATGATATTACCTGATTTGCTAAAAGCTGCGAGTGAGAGAACGAGGAGAACCCAAGTGCACAAATCAGTAATAACGGATGCACACATGGCCGTACGTCCCATATCCGAGCGTAAGAGCTTGAGATCCGCAAGAATCCTCGCAAGATCAGGGAAATTTGTACAGGAAAACGCGATCGTCCAGTAGATACCACCTGCGAGGATCTTGTCGGGATCTCCATTACCGGGAGCGTAATAGAAGGCAACACCGGCCGGTAAGGCAACAACGAGACCAACAATGGCTATGACCACTGGTTTGATTTCTTTGAATCTTATCATCCTCAAGTCCATACCGAGACCGAGGAGGAAAATGTTGTAAACGAGAGCTAAGTTTGCGAATGTCTCGAGAACCATTGTGAATCTATAAGGAAACACGAATTCGAGGACATAGGAATTTTCGCCAAGCATACTTGGGCTGAATATTAATCCGCACTGTAGTTTATAAAAGCAAGAAAACAAAAATGGTCACTACATTATATTCTCATTGTTTGTTTATAAGAAAACATATTCTGGTTATTTTGTAGGATCTCATTTAAAACTACGTACGAGATCAATCTGACTTTGAAACAAAAAAGAGAGATTCCATAATATAATGTCTACATAGCAAACGAAAAAAACCTATTTTTGTCCTTTCTCGTTTTAAAATCATCGTATTTAAAACAAAGCAAAAAAAACTCGTTCTCTTTTTTTCAGTTAGAATTAGAACAATGAAACCTAACTGATTTTTTTTTTCCTGCCAAAGATTTTCATTTTCAGAAGAAAAAAAAAGGAATATAAAGCAAACCAAAGTCTAAAAATCTCTAGTGCCACATTTTCATGAAAACAAAATGTTCCGTGATAGAATTTTGTTTTTAACAGAGACTCCATTTTCCTCTAACGAAAACAAAGTAATATGTTTTAACAAAAAATGATCAAGACTTTGAAGATGAAGAAAATAGCTAAACAAAGAAGAAGAAAAAAAAAGAGGACAAGTCAAGATTGATTGATTGAGTATATATATAAATACTCACAAGGATCTGAGCGACGAAAGGAGGAAGTTTGAGAGGGCGGATCAAATAGTAGATGAGACGGTACGTAAAGTTAGCGACAAAAAGCTGGGTGATAAAGACAGGAAGTGCAGCTACAAGGGTAGATGGATCCTCCCAACTGTTATGATCACCATTATTTCTCAAAAGCGTTTGGTTATAACAAATGACTCTGCCGTATCTCGAGAAACTGATATACGAGTTATTGGGATTTCTTGCGTCAGGTTGCACCGTATCTACGGGACTTAGAGGTATTTCTTCCGTTACGGGACCCAGAGATTCTTCGGGACCTATTTCTTCGAAGGGTACTCCCATATCTTCTGCGGGAAATTCCATCGACAACTCTTGGGATTTTCTGTGATTGAGAGGATTTTCTCTGGTAAAATCCCCCAACCCCTTCTTCTTCTTCCCAAGGTTTTTGCCGACGGATGATCCCCCTTCCGGCGACTAAACAACAAATATTGGGATTGTGTGTTATGATGGATGTGTTTTGTGGTTTTATTGCATTTAATTATAGGTGAGAGAGACTTACAATTTTTCCTATGCTTCTTTCTTTTCTTGTCTTTGCTAATTATAGTTTTGCATGTCAAACAGGAGACTACTAGTAAATTTAGCTTGTCAAATTCTGTTGCCTTTTCTTCTATGTTTGATTTGTTATAACGGTTGGTTATTAAAAAAAAAACAAATTTGAGATGTTTCCTTCTTATCAAATAAATTAAAGGAACTGCATGAGTATCAATCAGTGTTTTGAATTGATATATAAGATTTTTTTTTTTTAATTATATAATGAAAAAGGCTAAAACACAGGGTTGCACATGTAATCATGATGTTATTGGATCCGAATATTCAAAAAGAATACCTAAAAACTATTATAAACAAAACTTAATTTCCATCAATAAAAAGTAAATAAGGATGATGAAAAAAAAACACAAGTCTAGTTGGAAAAGTTAATCCAAATGGCCCAGCTTCGGACACCGGCCTAAGCCGCCACCGGAGATTCTCCACCGGCCATAAATAAAATAAAAAAGTTTGTCAAAAAACAAAATCTGTAACGTTCAATAAGATTTGACAAGTTTATCAAAAAAAAAAAGATTTGACAAGTTTACACTTTATAAGGTGATGACTTCAAGCTTAAGCAGCATGGACAAGTCCCTTTAAAGCCTTTGGCTCTGTAAGAGATGACGCCAAACGTAAAGGTCATTATTGTCTTTTAATGTGAAATAGAAAGAAAGAGGAAAGACATTCACTTTCACAGCTAAACAGTACCTGGCCAGTGGCTGCCCATGGCCGAATGCCGATCGAGAAGAAAAATAAAAAGTTGGTGCAATTTCAATACCAAAATGTAAAGCAGACAACTTTATTGTTCTAAAAGCAGAAATTTTACATTTAGTTTAAACCCTACAAGGACCCCATTCATGTTCAAAAGGAAGTACAGCACACAAAAGCTTTGAAAAGGAGAAAAAAATAATATGAAGATCATCGACCTTATACCAAATACAGTTTCTGAACCAAATACTGAAGCATGGTTTTCAAGAAAATGAACCAAGAGAGAATATCTGAAAGAAATTGACTTGCCACCATTTCTGCATCTTAAGCTCTAAACCAAAGAGACTTGGTGGAACAAAGAGGTGAGGGAAAGATAATTTTTCTCAGCTAAGACTATCTCCTGCATTTTGTTGGATTCAGAGTCGCTTTTTTTCTTTCAGCTCTCACTCTTTCTCTCCTCCTCCAAAGAGCTTATACTCTGATCTCTATCTGTTCTTCAACTGCTGCAGATTTTCAGTGTAAGAGCTTGGAAGAGCTCGAGTTATGGTGAGCCTCCTCCCATTAACATTTCTGTTGCAAATGCAAATCCTATCTGTTCCTGTGAATGTGAGTTACTGAAAAGCTTGCTTGCTTTGATGGAATAATGTTAGGGAACTCCTGTAAACATCACACTTGGTTCACATGTCTGGGTCGAGGATCCAGAACTCGCTTGGATTAATGGAGAAGTCATAGAAATCAAAGGCACTAATGCCACAATACTCACTGCAAATGAGAAAACAGTGAGAAACTAAATGGAAATTATCTTTGATCTTATTTTCAAGAAGAGTTTAAAGTATAAAGATTTTATCTTTATTCTTGTTTTATAACAGATTGTTGCAAGTATTTCTAGTATCTATCCAAAGGATACAGAGGCGCCAGCTGCAGGAGTTGACGACATGACTAAACTGGCTTACCTCCATGAGCCAGGAGTCCTCCACAATCTTGCTTGCCGTTTTGCTCTAAACGAGATTTATGTCAGTAATTTAATATCTAAAACATTCCATTGCATTTATCAAAAAATTTTTGAGGTTATCTAATAATTGCATAAACTCTTTGGATAGAGCAGACTTACACCGGAAACATCTTGATTGCTGTGAATCCATTCCAAAGACTTCCCCACTTGTATAGTGTCCATATGATGGAGCAATATAAAGGAGCTGCCTTTGGAGAGCTAAGCCCACATTTATTTGCTGTTGCAGACACCAGTTACAGGTACAAGTTGTTAATTCCCTTAGTGGAGACTTTTAAGCAAAAGAACTTAGCTCACAAAATAAAAGCTTTCCATATATACCACAGGGCGATGATAAATGAGGCAAGAAGTCAGTCTATTTTGGTAAGTGGAGAGAGTGGAGCTGGAAAAACAGAGACAACCAAAATGCTTATGAGATATCTTGCATTCATGGGAGGTAGATCAGATACTGAAGGGAGAAGCGTTGAACAACAAGTTTTAGAAGTGAGTTACACTTTCTCTGGTTTTATGAACAAAATGCTTCCAACATTCTAAATTGTTTCTTGTTTACAGTCTAATCCAGTCTTGGAAGCTTTTGGAAACGCCAAAACTGTGAAAAATAACAATTCAAGGTAATGTCTTATGGAAACACTTACTTTTTAGACAAGACATATTTTCTCCTTTGTTTTGAGACGGTTTGTGATTCTTCAACAGTCGGTTTGGAAAATTTGTTGAGATCCAATTTGACAAGCGTGGGAAGATATCTGGAGCTGCAATCAGAACGTATCTTCTCGAACGGTCTCGTGTTTGTCAAGTCTCAGACCCTGAGAGGAACTACCACTGCTTCTACATGCTCTGTGCAGCACCTCCTGAGGTAAACTCTTTAGTAACAATCCTGATAGCTATAGAGCTGTAAGACTTAGCAATACGTTTGTTTTTTTCAGGAAGTCAAGAAATTCAAGCTAGGGGATCCAAGAACGTTCCACTATCTGAATCAGACAAACTGCTATGAGGTTTCCAATATAAATGATGCAAGAGAGTATATGGAGACCAGAAATGCCATGGACATTGTAGGCATTGGACAAGAGTCACAGGTTTGTCTCATAAGACTCTCATTCTTAAGATACAAATGATGATAGAAATTTTCAGATACTGACCTAAGATTTGCAACTTAAGGATGCCATCTTCCGGGTTGTAGCTGCCATTCTCCACCTTGGAAATGTAAATTTTATGAAAGGAGAAGATGCGGATTCTTCAAAACTCAGGGATGATAAATCAAGATATCATCTTCAAACAGCAGCAGAATTACTCATGTATACTTAATCTATGAATATTTACCTTTAGACCTCGAAGTTCTCTGCACTAGTTCCCAATGACAATGGTTGAAAAAAATTCTCAAATTAATTATTCATTTGATGCAGGTGCAATGAGAAGATGCTTGAAGATTCACTCTGCAAGCGTGTAATTGTCACACCAGATGGTAATATTACAAAACCTCTTGACCCTGAATCAGCAGCTTTAAACCGTGATGCTTTAGCCAAGACAGTATACTCCAGACTTTTTGACTGGTGAGTAAATTCAACCCCTGCAACAAAAAAATTAACAATCACAAGACCGAACACACCTTAAACATGGTTGTCCTTCAGGACTTTTTTCTAGTTTAAGAAATCTTTAAGAGTGACATGTGCACATTTCAATTATGGCAGGATTGTGGATAAGATCAACAGTTCGATAGGTCAAGACCCGAATGCTACAAGCTTGATCGGAGTCCTTGACATTTATGGTTTTGAAAGCTTCAAGATCAACAGGTAAAAAACCTGACAGAACTTGTTAACCTGAATGATGGGTACACAGAGACTAAAGATCTAATTAATACCACTATTCGTTTGATAGTTTTGAGCAGCTATGTATCAATCTCACAAATGAGAAGTTGCAGCAGCACTTCAATCAGGTACGATATAAACAAACACTGTAACCAATTCACATTAAAAAAAACTGTTTTTACATGGAATAAATTCCCTCTGCAGCATGTTTTCAAGATGGAGCAAGAAGATTACGAGAGGGAGGAAATAGACTGGAGCTACGTTGAATTTGTTGATAACCAAGATGTTTTAGATCTTATTGAAAAGGTATAAAAACCATGCAACTAACACCATAAATCTAGATGACATAGGCTCCACAACATGTACTAACACTGAAAAGAACCAATGGTCTCTTTCTTTCTTGCAGAAACCAGGAGGCATAATTGCCCTACTTGATGAAGCATGGTAAGTGTATTAGCAACTGTCTTAACAAGTAGACATTATATCATTTCTCGGCATAACCATAGTGATCATTCTTGCAGCATGTTTCCTAAGTCGACACATGAGACGTTTGCACAGAAGATGTATCAAACATATAAAGGACACAAGCGTTTCAGCAAACCTAAGCTTGCTCGAACAGCCTTCACTGTCAACCACTATGCAGGAGATGTGAGACAAACATAGTTTTTAAGACGCTAAGATAAAGTAATTTCTAGTAGCTAGTTACTGAGAGCGCTTTATCTGCCTCAGGTTACATATTCAGCAGAGTTTTTTCTCGACAAGAACAAGGATTATGTTGTGGCAGAACATCAAGCTTTGTTAGATGCATCTAAGTGCTCTTTTGTCGCCAATTTGTTTCCACCACTTGCAGAGGACGCATCAAAGCAATCCAAGTTTTCATCAATTGGGACCCGTTTCAAGGTAAGCAGATAAAAGAAAAAACATATCATTTGCACATTACTCAAGCTCTTGATTCTTGACCTAACCTACTACCTCCTCCAGCAACAACTCCAAGCTCTAATGGAGACACTGAACACAACGGAGCCACATTACATTAGATGTGTGAAGCCAAATACAGTTCTAAAGCCAGGGATCTTTGAAAATGACAACGTCCTAAACCAGCTAAGATGCGGAGTAAGCCTTAAAAGCTTCAAGTTTTTTCTATTTGAACAAGTTCATGTTTTTTACCATAAGGATCTTGGTAAGTGAACAGGGTGTGTTAGAAGCTATAAGAATCAGTTGTGCTGGTTATCCAACAAAACGAGCATTCGATGAGTTTC